ACATAAAAAATTTAGAGAAAAAAATTAACGAAATATCAAATAAATTAAATTATTCTATTTCCAATAATATTAGAACGATTTTTTGATACACAAAAAAAATCACATGAAAACAAATTCAAAAAAATTAAAAAATCAAACATTGATAAATTAAATAAACTAAAAAACTCAGAACTTTTAAAGATTGATGAAAGTTGGATCATGGATTACTCAGAAATTGAAATATCTGATGACATAAAAAAATTTCCAGCATTAGGTCACAAATTTAGTATCAAACCAGAACCTAAAGATTTAAATATAAAAACTTTATTAGCAGATATTGAAAACTTAATCAACATGTATCCAAATAACCAAAAAAATATAATTAGAGCAAAAGCAACTAACGTAATAACAAATTATAAATTTCAACCAGCTCACAATAATTATTTAAGAAGTTTATTCTTCAAAACAAAAAGTTTTTTCAAAAATTATGGAGATATTTTAATTACAAAAGCTGATAAAGGCAATATAAAAGTAATCATTAAAAAAGAAAATTATATTAAAAAATCTCTCGATATATTATCAGACAATAATTATTATAAAATTCTTCCACGAGATCCTACATCGACTTTTCAACAAAAAGCAAATAAAATGGTTTCAAAATTAAAAAATAATAAGACAATATCTCCAGAAGAAGCAAAAAAACTCACTATTTATAATCAAAAATCTACAAAATTCTATGGTTTACCCAAAATACATAAACCCAACATTCCATTAAGACCAATAATATCATCAATTGATGCTCCTAATAGTAAATTATCACAATTTATCACAAATATTTTAACTACTTCATATGATTGTGATAATATCTATTATACAAAAGACACTTTCGCATTTGCTGATTTCATAAAAAATATGAAATTACCAGAAAATTATGTTCTAATTAGCCTTGATGTTGTATCATTATATAGCAATATTCCATATAATTTAATAATAAATAGCATAACATTACATTGGCCTGAAGTTTCTAAAAAAACTACATTAAATAAAAAACAATTTCTGAATATAATAGAATTAATTTTCAACTCATCTTACTTCAAATTTAACAATCAATATTATGAACAAATCTTAGGCACACCAATGGGATCTAATTTATCTCCAATTTTATCCCAATACGTAATGGATGATCTTCTTGATAATTGCATACCCAAATTGAAATTCAAATTACCTTTCCATAAAAAAATTTGTTGATGACATAATAACGTCAGTTCCAGAAAATTCAGTTAATGAAATTTTAACAATATTCAATCAATATAATTCAAATATCCAATTCACAATAGAAAAAGAAGTTCCATTTCTAGACACATTATTGATGAGATCTAATAACAATAACATTATAACTGATTGCGTATACAAAACCGACTTATTCAGGAAGATACATCAATTTTCACTCATATCACCCTCAAAAAATGAAAATAAATCTCGTTCTTGTATTAAAAAATAGAATTTTCAAAATATGTCATCCTTCTTTCTTTCAAAAGGATATCAAAAAATTATTCAATATTTTAAAAAAGAATTCATATCCTGATTGGTTTTTAAAAAAATTTCTTTTCAACACAATACAAATTCAAAACAATGATGCGTCTTTTGATGATATAATAAATCCTATAAATAATATTTCAAATACAGTCAATTCAAACTCAATAAATGATAACATTGATAATTCAGTTCCACAAAACCCTCCAGAAATTCAACAAATCAATAAAATTTATTATTTCTCACTGCCATACATAAAAGAATTATCAAAAAAATTTGAAAAAATATTCGATGGAAATGTTAATATTAAAATTTGTGGCAAACATTTTTTAAAAATTTCAAATCTCTATTCAAAATTTAAAGATAAAGATGAAAATTTGAAAAAATCAGGGGTAGTTTATTCCATTAAATGTAATGATTGCGATAAAAATTATATTGGACAAATATCAACACTTTTAAAAGACAGAATAAATAGACATAAAAATGACTATAGATTAAATAAAAGAAGTTGCAGCTTATCTGAACATATATTGGACACAAATCATATGTTTGATTTTTTAAATCCTGAAATTTTGGTAATAGAACAAAATTACAATAAAAGATTATTTTTAGAAATGGTTAACATAAATAATGATAAAAATTGTATTAACAAAAAGAAAAACATAGAAGATCTGAATATAATTTATTCCTTACTATTAAATTCTATATCTCAATAGAGAATTATATTAATTATTAGAATTACAAAATTTTTTTGTAATTGAATCTTCTTACCAAAACTGTATAGAATAATAACTGAACATTGTAAAATTACCTTTGTTGAAAAGCAGTTTTATTTCTTGACAAATTTCAATTCAATTTTCAAAATTATTAGAAGCAAAATTTCAAGATAAAGCAAGAGGTTCAAAGAAAAGACTAAATTTCCAATAGATTTTCAACAATGGCTAATTCTATAATAAATTAACTAATTTTACACGTAAGTTTTTATAGATATTTTATATTTTCAACAATTATATTTCGCTTTATACTTTTAGCCTTGATAAAGGAAACAATAAAATTTCCGAAAGCTCGGCGTTTGTGAATAAGTAGTTTTATTTATGCCAAGACTGCATCCCAAGAATCATCTCACCTATTAAACAAGCCAGTCAAGAATTTTTACATTTACGAAGAACAATATATACTTACATATAGTGAAATGGGCAAGAGAAATGCAAAAATAGACTCAACGTTCTATTTTTGTTCCTTTCTTGGCCTATGAAATCAGTTGAATTTTCAAACCTGATTAGCCGCAGTTCAGATTTCATAACTCACATTTTCCTTTATTATAAGCTGAAACCTAATTCCAATAAAAACGAGTTCCCATTGATCGGCTGGCAAAGAGCTCCTTTTGCTCCGTCTTCATATAAGCCTCGTTTAATCGAATCGGTTTTTTTTTTTAGCTTTATTTATTTAGCTTCACAAAGCCTCCGATTTCCAAAAATCAATTCAGATGCCACTAGCACAAGAAAAACCCATTACCGTTTCGAAGGCCCTTTGAAACCCAAAAGCAAGAGCAGAAGCACTGCAAAATGCATTTCTGGGTGGCCACGACGTTTCAAGACATCCAGACAGCTTCTTTGTTAAGAAGTTGAACGTAAAAGGCAAGATAACATTCAGAAAGGTGTAATAAGATCTCAGATAATGGAACTCGAACAATACCTCGTGTGCGAGTTTATTGTTTTTTAGCTGGGTAATTTAAGTTAAATATATGTTTGTGTATTTTATGATAACTCTCACAAGTTCCTTTATCTTTAAGGCTACATAAAATTGATTTTCTTCGGTTTTCACATTTCATCTCCGAGGCAAATTATTCAAAGAAATAGACACACCTAACACAATTACACGAGCCTATTACAATAAAGTACAGCTAATCTCTCTGGAGCTGACACGTTCAATTATTCCGAAACACTTCGGAGATGTTGAGGCCCCGATAAAATTCTTTCTCGAAAAAATTGAGTTTTGTCGACGTTAAGGCTTGAATAGGCCCAAACAACAACTTCTTAATTAACTTTGCCTGGTTCTTTTTTTTTTTGATAGATCGCGTTGCATGAGGCGCATTTTACGACAAGATGGGCATTTCAGATAGCGCACAGAATTAACAATATATTTTAATGAAGTAGATATAGAGGTACATGGATTTTTATGTATAAAATTTTATCTTGATTTCGTTTTTATTGGGCTTTTATTTAACTGTTTAGACACATTTCTCTTATAAAATAAATCGGATTTTGCTCGAATCGAAAGTTACATTCATCGATTCAATAAACATTAAGTAAACAAAGTTAAAGACAGCCGCGAGGTGTTTCAGGTCTTTGCCCAGACTAAAATAAAGCATCCATTATTGGAATGTTCCTTGTTTTAATCCTCCAACAAACAGGTTTGTTGCGCAAAGTTTCTTGCACAAAGTAAATCTTCCGATTGACTCTCCAGAGAAGACGTTGTTTGTATCTTAATATCAGAGGCAGGTAGAATGTTATTTTGTTTGTATGGAATAATTGCCGTTCTTACTTTGAACATTACATCGTAATTTACCCATTTAGGATATAGATGTCATGGTGTTTCTTTCGTAGGTTCTCAAGTGCAATAACTTGAAGTTGAGGCACTTGACATTGGTTTTCAAAGACTAATTTTTTTTTAAATTTGAGCTATTAGGTATTTGCTGCAATCTATGAGTTTTAGACAAAGTTTAAAAGACAAAAAATAAACAAGTACAAAATTAAAAACTAGATTAACATAAGAAAAAACAATATGTTAATCAAAGTAATATAAAAGTGAAAATAAGTTCAAAGAATTTGGTATACCTATATCATCATAACACTTTCTAAAACTAATACACCTATATAGAAGACCAAGGACAGTCCTCGCAAATGGTTCATAGGGATCAAAGAAATGAAACTCATTTCACTGATTGCATAATCTGAGAGCACGAGGAATGAATGAATGATATCCATAATTGGCTCTGTGGAGTTGCTGGTGAAATGTTTGAGTCGTGCGAATGTTGGGAATTAGGATGTTAACGAGGTATGGACAGTTCACGATAGAGTTCAAGATTTTGTGAATTGTTTTTAAGTCTCTTTGCTTTCTTCTGCAGGAAGTGGGTGTGATGTTTGAGCTACTTTAGGGTCTTTAGGCTTACTGAGTGTTGATTAAAATATAACACTGTTTTCTAAGGAATCTTGTTATATACCTATATTGTTTACCAAAGATAAAGATACATGTCAGTGTCTGGCTGGAAACATTAACCACTAAATTATAAATTACAGTTTTCTTCTGTCAGCTGATATTCTATAGGATCGAAGTTTAACCAAAAACCATAGACTATTACAAAACCCAGACACTACATATCCTCCTTAACTTTAGATTTGAAAGTTTCAATTCTCAAAGAACAAAAAAGTAATATTTCTAAAAATATATTTTGAAAAAATACGTCACTCAATGAATCAGAATTGGTTTCAGTCTTTCAAATAGGTTGGTCTTCTCAAAACTCTTGATGGACGCATGTTGTCGCAAACATCTGAGGGTTCAACAGTTTGAAATTCTTGAATGTAAGGGTTGCTCAAAATGTCTTGTTTGAAGTTATTATATTCAGTTAAGTCACTAATTGAAAGGCTGTCTGTATCTGTTGCAGATGCTTCAGGTGCTGAGCTGAACGAGATATCATCATCTGAGAGGACTTCTTGAGGTTCATGCATATCTGGATCTTCACTAGTAGGTGGTGTTAGCGAACTTGCTTCAAGTATAGTAGCTTGCTCTTCTTTAGGAATAATCTTTCAGAATACTGTTTTCGTTGCGATGATAGAAATGATAGGAGGAGTAAATGCATTTTGTTTGGGTGCGTTTGACGGATGTTTGAGGACTTGACTAGGAATACTAGGATTGAATATTTTGAAAAACGATGCATTTTTTTAAATATATTTTCGTTTCGTTCTCTCTCTCAAATTTTGAGTTTCATTAATTTGTGTTATTTTGTAAGGTTTTGGGTCAAAAAACAGAGTTAGGCAGTTTGTCTTCAACATAAAACTAGATAATTGATCTGAAAGTTGTGTATTCTTGTATATCTTTGTTGATCTGCATATTCCTTTTGTTTTTCTTATCAGTTTTAGTTTTTGTTATGTCTTCATGTACTCTATGTCTTTTTTGCTGTGTGAACATCGGTAATAAGTTATTGATTTCTCTGTTGAAAACCAGTTCAAATGGGGATTTCTCTGTAGTGGAATGCGGAATACTTCTATAGTTTAACAAAACTTGATTGATTTGAGAAAAAAAACTTGCTGGATTCTAACTGTATGCACAAACTAAAAACTTTTTGAAAAACTTCACAAACCTATCTGCCATATTGTTCGCTTCGGGCCAGAATGGAGTGAATTTTATGGGTTTTATACCAAGATCAGATGAAAATATTTTAAATTCACTGCCACAAAAAGGTGGACCATTGTCTGACTTTATAGACTTCGGAATTCCAAATGTGGAAAATGTTTTCTCAAGTATTGGTTTCAGATTGTGGAAGCTTGTAGATGGAGCAATTTCTGCTATCAGGTACCTTGAATATTTATCTACTAATATGAAGACATATTTCTTGTTGGGAAAAGGTCCAACGAAATCTATGTCGAGTTGCTGAAACAATTGATCAGGTAATTCTCTTGATATTATAGGATCTCTGATCCTAGCGTATGTAATTGCCTGACACGTTGCACAACTTTTTACTGATGTTTCTGTTAGTCTGTCAATATTTGAGAACCATACTTCTGAGCGAAGTAACTGCTTTGTCTTGAAAATTCCTTAATCACCTTCATGTGCTAGTTGTATTGCAGGAGTTTGTATGAGGATGCTGGTAAAATTATTCGAGTACCTACTACGTAGTATGATGTTATCCGTCACAGAAAGTTCATATTTTAATTTGCAGAACGGTGATAATTCAGAATTTTTCCAGTTATTTCTGTTATGTTTTATTGAGTCAATGAGAAAACTGACTACTTTATCATGTTGAAAGTAGCTTGTTGCACTTGTTCAATTGTTATAGCTTTGGGTAATGAAGACTGTAGGATAACATTTACATAGGTTTCTATTTTGGTATCTTTTAGAGCTGAATTATTAAGTACATGATATCTTTACAAATAGACTGATGGGTTGGACTTGCCATCTTGATGAATGACTTTGAACTGATAGGGCGGAATTCCTAATAGTAGTCTCTCTATCCGAGCACTGGGAAAAGATCTGTTGTTTTATAAGATTCTGACAAGAGGAAGATGATCAGTATGTAAAGTAAATGTTGTTCCATAAAGGTAGATATGGAAATGTTATATGGACTACGTACATGCTACTGTTTTTTTTTCTATTTGACTGTATGGCTTTTCTACACTAGAAAATGTTCTGCTAGCATATGCGATAACATCTTGACCTTGGGTGAGAATCGAGCCTACACCTTCAGGTCCACCATCTAATATCAAATTTGTTGGTTTATTGACATCATCATGAAATAGGATAATGTTGTTGCTTTTATCAATTGTTCTTAAAAAAAATTTAAATATTCGATCATGTTCTGGTGTCCATTGCCAAATGGAATCTTTCTATGTTAAACCTTTTGGTATTATTAGCTAGGTTTGGTGAAAACTTTGCCATATAACTTATCATACCCAAAAAGCTTCGTACTTCTGTTGGGCTCTGGTCATTTGGTATATCAATATAAAACTCTATGTTTATTTTGGGAAAAGATGATTGTTTAGCTTCATTTTCGCAATATCATACTTGGGGGGCAGGTTGAGTGAGAGGAGAGTCGCGTAATGAACATCAAATATCAAATGTTTCCGCACCTGAACAATGGAGTCTTTTCGACCATCTTCTGTAATACCAGCTGCAACCAGGAAATTATCAATCGTTTAAGCCATTTTTAACATATGGAGGCCTATATTTTTCATGCCATTATGAATGTTAAAATGCTCAATATTGCATGCTGCCATCGTTCAATGTTTTTCTGTTTTTGTTTACCGATCACAATGACGTTGTTGTGGGTAATCGTTGACTCGTCGCCAATGTAATGTTTGAGCTACTTCAGGCTTACTGAAGTATTGTTAAAAATATACCACTGTTTTCTAAGGAATCTTGTTTTATATATTGTTTACCAAAGATAAAGATACATGTGTGTCTGGTTGGAAACAGAACATAACATAACGTTATCACTAAATTCTAAATCAAAGTTTTCTTCTGTCAGCTGATATCCTTCAATTCTATAAAATCGAAGTTTAACCAAAAACCATAGACGATTACAAAACATAGACACCTCAAAGGGTTGTCAGATTTAGATATAGTTCGACGCAGAGGCTTGCATAATGAAATTCTTGATTATTGAAAAATTTGTAGTTCAAGTATCTGAAGAATTTGCGCTACAGGACTGTGTAAGGACATAAGAAAATATAATATGTTTTAATGTAGCTTATATTTATGAAGTCCGTTGTACTGCGTTTCACAAATCCTCACAAAAAGAAGTTCCTTATTGATTGTGAAGTCGATATCATCAGCAAAATCTAGCCGGGAATTCAAGACGACCAAATCCTTGATCTGCTTCACACAGTCCGAGAAAGTGCCATTTATATGGTGAATGCACTTCACATTTTAAAACATTTAGTTCCATTCCATTGGTCTGGCACCAAAGAGTTAGCCTGTCAACATCTTCCTGGAGTCAGTCATTATGGATGTTTTTTTTTTTTGAATTTGATCAGATCAAATAGAAGAAAAAGGCAGTACCTGAAGAAAGATGCAATGTTGATTAACATTTTGAAAAGTGAGAACCTTGAGGCACGCCTGATGAGACTGGGATTTGTGAACAAATGAAGCTGTTCATCATTACCATCTAGACCTTTTCAGTGAAGTAGCTCTTAATCTAGAGGAGTGGGAAGCCAGGAATGCCTAGTGTCTCCAATTTCCTGATCAACACTGCATCATTGACTCTGTCAAACGTTTTGAGGAAGTCGGTGTATATTGAGTGCACCTCTTCACCTCTCTCCAAAGCGTTTATCAGTATGTCCAAGTAGGTAAGAAGAATAGTTTCTGTAGAAGAGTTCTTTTTGAAGCCAAACTGCTCTGATATAATTCTTGCACCCAATAAAGACGTTATAAACTTTGTGACAATGTTCTGGAATGGTGTTAAGAATACAAATAAGGATGATAATAGGCCAAGTTGGCTCACTCTCCTGATTTATGACTTGGTACTACGTACCTGGTCTCCCAGAAGTCAGGAAAGATGTCCGATTGAAGTGAGCCGTTAAATATAGCATGTAGAGGTCTAGACAGGACAAAGCAGCATTTTTTTAGGAGAAGGGTCTACGTTTTTCAATTCGCTATAATTATTATCTGAGATTAAAATAATGAAATTATTTAAATTATGAGGACTGAGAAATGGCTGGTGAGCAGGGTCTCAAGATTGATTAGTGTACACTGACCCAAAGTATTCACCAAAAAGTTCAGCAGCTTGGAGTCCCATAGTGGCTGATTCCTCATTCAAGTTAAAATTATATGGTAGTTTACGAGAATTTTGTAAAGAGCTTGTGTAGGACCAGAATTTTTTAGGACTATGTTGCATGGCTGCTTTGGTGCTTATTATATGGTTTTGCGAGCTCAATCGAGAGAGATTGTTACAATAAGAACCTAAGTTGGAAATGTTTTGATAATCAAGAAGAAGCCTGCTTTGCTTGTATTTTCGATTAGTGATATTTTTCTGTACTCCTGGTAAGTCTTGTGAGATCCATTTGAAAAACTTTCTTCTGGTTATTTTTCTGATTGGTGAAAAGATACCATAGGTTTTACAAAATACATCATAGAAAATGTTTATTATTTCATTACCAGAGGACAAAACATGTCCTTTCATGAGATTTATCCCCAGTAATCGTTTAAGCATCTCTATAGTCAACAAATTCAAAGTCGTAGTAAAACCCATTTCCTTGGGGGTTTGCATTGCTGTGATTATACTAAACTGATGTTAAAGCTCAAAGGAGGGTGAATGCTATCTAGTGGTAGAAGGAATTCATCGGCATCAGGCTGAGTAACGTACATCCTGGAGGTCTATAAACCTAGCAGTCCCAAGGTGGAAAAAAACTTCGGGAACTATATAATAATAAGGTGCTTTTTAGGTGCTAATTATGGCCTCTAATTAAAAATTAGGTGCTCCTTTAATTTCTGAGAAAGTCAAAAAAAAACTAAGGGACTGCTAGGTTTATAAAAGCTAGCAGTCCCCTATAGTAAAAAATATTTTTCAAATTTTTTCTTTGTATCAGAATTAGGTGCTTTTTAGGTGCTCCTAAATAGTCCAAGAAAAAATAAAATTGATTAATTATTAACTGAGATTTTTTTTTTAATTATTAGGGGACTGCTTGCTTTACGTTTACATGTTGGTGTGTCAGAATGGCGAAAAAACTTCGAGATCTATATAATAATTAGGTACTTTTTAGGTGCTAATTAGGGCCTCTAATTAAAAATTAGGTGCTCCTCTAGTTTTTGAGAAAATCAAAAAAAAATAAAAAATAAGTGACTGCTAGGTTTTTTTAATTGGAGGCCCTAATTAGCACCTTAAAAGCACCTAATTATTATATAGATCTCGAAGTTTTTTTCCATTCTGACACACCAACATGTAAACGTAAAGCCAGCAGTCCCCTAATAATTAAAAAAAAAATCTGTAATTTAGTTAATAATTAATCAATTC